CCAGGAGAGACTGGATGGAGAGCGAGATGCTCAGCCAGCCCAGTTTTCAAAGCCACTCCAGATGAAATGCAGACATGCAAATGAAGAAATAATCTTGTACTTCCATGCCAGTTGAGTTTTCAGATTACTTCAGACCCAGATGCCATCTGGCTGCAATCATAGGAGAGACCTGAACCACCCAACTGAGCTTAGCTACCCCCCGGAACCATGCCACCAAAGTCTGGGATGGTTTCCTAAGTAGCAATAGACAGCTGTGGCTAGAATGAATAACAAGACCCACCTTATTAGACTATTGTAAGGGTAAAATGGTTTGGACATGATTTTAGGAGGGGCCAGTCCTTAAAAAAGGTTATCACGCTAGGAGAGACAGAAAGTGAAAGAGTGGAAGACCCTCAAGGAGCTGGCCTAACACAGTAACTGCAATAATAGACTTGAACATGGCAGAGATCATGTGGATAGTGCAGGAGTGAGCAAGGTGTTCATCTGTTGTTAACAAGGTCAGGATGAGTTGTGGTCAACTTGATGCCACCTGACAACACAAAAACAAAGGTAAAATGAAAATATATGCAAAATTGAGCCCGTAGGATGAATTTTTTTTAAAAGAAATCATCACCATCCATTAATTTCCCTTCCCCATCTTCTTTTTCTTCCTTTTTATAAACATCTATGCGTTGCAGGGCGGGACCAGTCCTTGGAGAGGGACATCATTCTTGTGAGGGTGGAGGGACAGAGCAGGAGAAGACCCCCGATGAGGTGGATTGAGTCAGTGACTCCGGTAATGGGGTAGGTGTGTTGGAGAAAGTAAGATTGACACAGGATAGAGCAGGGTTTAGGACTGTGTGTATAGGGTCACTATGAGTCGCAGGTGACTCAACGGCACATAACAACAACAACAACAACAACAAATGTATTGTCAAGTCAAGGTTCTTCTCAGAGTCATTATCTGAAGATGTGGTGGATTGGAGGTGGGCTATTTGCTAGATGGTTGGAATTTTAACAGCTCTCTCTTTTCTTCCATCTTTTTCTTTCTTTTCTGTGTTCTTTAAAACACTGCTAGATCGTTTTAGACCTAAAATAAGAATACCAAATTCAGCCTTTGTGCTTCAGACAGAAAAATCATAGGTTTGGTACAGGTTCATGCTAACACAAATCAACCCTCCAAAGCTAGAATGATTTCAAGCAAAATTCCCCTTAGCAACTTTTGTCTTTTATGAGTGTGTGTGTGTGTGTGTGTGTGTGCGCGCGCGTGCACGCGTGTGTGCATGTGTGTGTAGCAGTTAAACAAATACTTTTGACTGCATATTTGACTCTGAAAGCACAATAGAACTGAAGGCTTTGGGGGAGGGGAGGGAGTGGTGGGTTAAAAAGTGCAAGGTTACCTGTAATTATGGTCTTGTTAAGTCTGATTTTGTAACACAGCAATGAAGAAAAGTTTTATTTAAAGCATGCAGAAAGACATGGCATGCATTAGAAATGCTCTTTTTCCTTCTGACACAAATGACTACACTTACTCTCATGATCTCCCTGTAAGCCAAGCTTTTATTATATTTATGCTAATGCTGTACGTTTGGTTGATTGACTTGGCCCCTGTAGAAAACTTGAAGACTTGCTGCTAAGGGACCTTGGGACCAGTGGCTAGAGACTAGTGTTGGTGTCAGTGCAGGAACTCCTGATGTCACCTCCCCCACTCTGTGGACCTCCCTCATCCCAGACTATACAACATTCTTTTTTTTTTAAAAAAATTATCTTTTCTTTTTTATTTATACTAGCTTATTTACAAAATCCAAATACACTGTTTTCAATATACAGCATTCTTGGTTGTTGTTATGTCCTGTGGAAATGGAACTGACTCATAGCTGAGCCTGCAGTGGGTTTTCAGAGCCAGTAAGTAGCATAGAAGGAGACTGCTCATCTTTCTCCCACAGAGCAGCTTGTAGATTCAAACTGTGTGCCTTTGAGTTGACAGTACGGCTCCTTACCACTAGGCTGCCAGAGCTCCCTACAGTATCCTTGATTTTGTTAGTAATATTTATTATAAATGTTAATCATTGGCTGATATGCAAGAAATACTGGTTGTTTAAAAGTATTGTTTCTTAGAGTATACGGATGTTAACAGCAAAGTAGGGAGCTCTGATGGCCTAGTGGGTAAGGAGTTGCATTGCCAACCCAAAGGCAGGCAGTTCAAATCCACTAGTAATTCTGTGGGAGAAATATGCTTCCTATGCAATTTAAAGCCTTTGAAAACCTTGGGAGAGGGTCACCTATGGGTCAGTTCTGACTCTACAGGCAAGGATTTCTTTGAACAACAAAATTGGTAAAAAATCTTTCTACACTGAATGACAAAACTATTAGATACATTTTAAAATCTTTTCCCTGCTTTTTCTAGAATTTCAACTCCATTCTCAAAAACGTTACTGACATGAATTCACAAAACTTCTGCAATATTGTAGTTAAAAGACCAGAAATCTGACAAAATCAGCAAATATAAAAACATTGGCAGCATGTGCTTGAGACACGCAGATGGAACCCAGTGATTGAAAATATCCTTATAATGATAATAATGACAGCTCTGACCAGTTGATTCCTCACTGCAATGACTGGACCAAAAGTTTAAAGTGGCGGCTGTAAATCTTTATGGGATGAGATACCTATCTTTCTCTCACTGAACAGCTGGTGGATTCAAACAGCCAGTCTTTTTGGTGAGCACTCCAGCACAGAGCTCACTACTCCACCAGAACTCTTTCAAGGTTCACGAGGTTAGTTTACATAGGTGTATTGGTATATGTAAATTGGGCTTACAAAAAATGTTTTTGTTGTTATAACTACTTTACTTCTGATTACTTTCATAGTAAACAGTAAATTTCTACTGAACACTACGGAGCTCTGGTGTATATAGTCTGTAGGGAATTGCCCTGTTAACTCAAAAGTGGTGCCTCTCTGTTGGTTCAAATCCTCTCGTGGCTCTGTGGGAGAAAGATGGACAACCTCCTCCAGTATAATTTCTTCTTCTTGTGCAACATTAAGCTGGAGCTGACCCTCGTTTTCAGAGGCAGTAAAATCACACAGGAGGAGAATGCCCATCCTGCTTTTGTGAAGCACCAAGTGAATTTGAACCACATACTTTTTATTTGGCAATGCAATTCCTTGCCACTAGGCCACCAGAGCTCCCTACCCTTGTTTACTGCCTAGCAAACCCAGTGGAGGGAGGGTTACTATGAGCCAGTTCCAACTCAACAGCAGTAGGTTTGCTGACACTCTGCACAAAAATGTCACAGTCATTTTGGTGTCACTTCCTCTGATAGTGTCATGTTGTGTGGTCTGCAGCCCTGGGCACCCTCCGGTTGATGCCACTGCTGAAGGTTATTTTGGGCTGTGTTCCTCCCCACCACACCTCATGGCCTCCTGAGAGTCTGTGAACTCTTAAAGGGAGCTCTTCTTAGTGACCTAGGTCAGCATCATAAATTGTCAAATCCTCTGTCATTTGGAGAAGGGGAAGGGGAGACTAGGTGCCTGACATGAGTAGATAAGAAGAATTTTACTTATTTTATATTTCAACCTTTAAGGTTGGTGCAGACATAAAGCCATAGTGATAGCTGTCAAATGCCCTTAGGATAAAAACCACTGGAATATTTGAGGATCTACAAGTGGGAGCTCTGGTGGCCTTGTGGTAAGAGGCTATGCTGCAGTCCCCAAGGCAAGTGGTTCGAATCTACCAGTTGTTTCACGGCAAAAGGCTGGGAAATCTCCTCTCATGTCATGCCTCTGAAAATTCATAGGAGGGTGAGCTACGAGTCTGTTCTGACTCCCGGGCATACAATGACAGCAACACAAATAGGAAGGATAGGGAGTTTAGGGTAGTGGGGTAGGGATGAGGAGCGGTTAGGTTAGGCAGAGTGTCTGGTGAGGTTCTTGGTCCCTGAGTTCAAACGACAGAAGGTTGCTAGTATCAAGATTTCAGATTGTCACTGAGGACTCGCTTCCTTGCGAAGGATGTAAGACGTTGGCGCTGGAACTCATTTGACACAATCCCCTTAACTAACTTTGGCTTTCCTGACTACTTGACTGAAGCATGGGGCCCTTTCAAATTTCTGAGAGCACTTCCACAGACATCGTGGGTGGGTGACTCTGCTTTCACTGTCACAGGGCTCAGAGGGGCTGCATCTGTGTGAGATGCCAGCAGCCGGCTCTAAGTCACTTCTGGCCTTGCTCACTGAGTGCTATGCACGTCGCTGGCCGCATGCGCACTCACGTGAGCTAGCCAGGGCCAGAGAACTCCAGACTAGAACACAATGGGTGACATTATTTTGCCGAAGCTCAAACGTCATATTGCAGAGGGAATGGGAGTAGAGTCTTGGTTATGATTGCGATTGGACCCCCAAAGCGTGGTCCACAATGCCATCCTAGTGTAGACACACCCACGACAATGCAATCACGCCCCAAACTTCAGAAGCAGATAAAACTGCAATTCTGGGCCGGCAGGGGATCCTAAGAGGACTGAGAGGGCAGTGGGCAGTAGCCCGAGAGTGAGCAGAGAAGATGCCTGGGACTTGCTCTTAGGTAGTAGGGTGGCTGCTCACATAGTGCCCGCCCCGAGGGCCGCCAGCCAGGGATCTACACCCGCTTCCCCAGGTCCGCACCCTAAGCTCCGCTTCCCGCTCGCGCAGCCTCAGCCTCGGCCCCGTGCTGGCGCAGCGGGACCCCGAGTGGCGCCAGCCGCTGGCTGCGCCCCGGGCCGCTGACCCACTTTCCCCCCAGCGCTTCACTGGGCCCCTCACCAGCTCCCACCGCCCGCAGCGCCCCTAGGCGCAGTCCGGCGCCGGGGGCGTGGCCTCCCGTAGGGCTGCCTGTGATTGGTGGTAGGAGTCCTGGGCGGGGCCTGCCCGGGAGAAAACAGCGCGCGCGCGGCCGAGTGCAGCGCCAGCCCAGACCTGAGCCTGCCGCCTCCTTTCCCGGTCCGGTTCTCTCGCTCGCTGGGCTCCGGGCTCGGTCCTGTTGCTCCCGCGTAGCGTGGACCTCGTCCTGCCCCGCAGCTCCCTGCCCGCCCGCCCCACAGATCCCTGCCCGCTCTGCAGCCCTGGTCGGAGCGGCGATGCGCCTCATTCAGAACATGTGCACCATCGCCGAGTACCCCGCCCAGAGCAGCGCCTCCGCCGCCGACTGCTGCCTGGGGCTGGCCGGCCGCCGCCTGGTCAAGATCGCCGTGGTGGGGGCCAGCGGCGTGGGCAAGACCGGTGAGTCCTCGAGCTCGGGCGCAATCTCGCTCATCTCCAGGGCGACCCCCATCGCCACCGCCGCTGGGATTGCGGATGAACGAGACGAGTGGGGGAAGGTGGGAGCTGCAGCTGGACCGCCCACCCCCTCACCCCCTGCTGCAGCTCTGCAGCCAAAGCTCTGGAGACCTTTGCTTCCAACGCCCTCCTGTGGGTCAGGGAACTGGGGACCCAGAGTGACTCTCCTGGTGCCTCCCCACGCTACTAGGATCAGAACTTTGGTCTTTTGAGCCTCTGGTGGTGCCTGGCACAGAGGGGAGTCAGCGCATGGAGCCCCTCCCGGAGGTCTTTAAGGTTAGGGCAGACATTTGTCAGCTAGAAGGTTTAGGTGTGGTTCAGCCTGGCTCAGAGGAGAGGGCTAGGACAAATGACCCTTCCAGCTGGACAGAGCCATAACTCATGGTGCCTTCAGCCCCCTCTCCTTTGGCTCTGGAAGGAGGGTCAAAGGAGCTGCCGGGGAGGAATTTCACTTTCTGGCCCTCCATGATAATTCCCATGAGACCTGCACTCTAACACTTTGTTCACCTTTTTTTAAATTTTTTTTTTTATTTCTTTTCTCTGACCTGCAGCTCTGGTGGTGCGGTTCCTCACCAAGCGATTCATCGGCGACTATGAAAGAAATGCAGGTGAGAAATTGCTTGTGAGGAGAATGTTGCCAGCTTGCACCAGTATTGTGCTTCCCAATTTTCACTGCCCCCAGCAAGCAGATTTCTTCAGAGTTATAGTCTGGACATCAGGATCTGGCCATTTTCAGCTCCCCTATATGCTTACCCCACACCATTATTGTCACTGGTCTTTTCCATTCTGAGCCCATCTGTCATGTTAACAAGTGCCTGAAAAAATGTCCCTTGGTGTGTTTTAACCATCAGGATCCAAGTTGGAAGCACCTTTTGTAATCAAGAGCCTCTTCTAAACCACTCCTGCAAAAGTCATAAAAGAAGGGGTGGGGGAAGGCCAGCACTCCCCCCCCTTTCTCTGCTGGCTGCCTTTCAGGGGTGACCTTTTAAAGAAGGCCAAAAAAGACAGTAGTTGTAAACCTTAACTCCTCTTAACAAAGGAAAAATCACCAGAGGATAGAATCTTAGGAGCAGAGTTTTTGGATAAATGAGAGGGTAGGTATTTCAAATCCCTATGATTAGGAATAGTCACTGGAAAGGTGTAGAGAGCTTTCTACCTGTGCTGTTAGCCAATGGCTGAGCCCCTCCGTCCACATGCCACACCTAGGGGGAATTATTTGGAATGTGCTGTGTAAGCCATCCCCAGATAAGGCGGGCAGTCTTCTGCTTTGATGTGGATTGGCTCCCATTAGATTACTGTTTTATTCCACCTGTTAAGGTTGGCTCTGCAATTACTGGCAATATTTGCCTACAGAAAGCTATTATATCTAAGAGCTAAAGCAGAACTCTGCACCAGAGAGTGATGATGTCCTAAAATCAAATAGAAGCTCACACACACAAAAAACTGTGCTTTAAGGAAATGCCCTAAATCTGGAAGTTCCACTTTAAAACAAAGCAGGTTTAGGAGAGAAAGAAAGGAAAAGACTTACAAATTTTGTCATGTTCTTAATATCCACCACCATAGGGTTAAAAAGAATTCTATTTAAAAAAATCTGAACTCTGTCCAAATAGACATGAACTAGTTTTTGTGTCTGGTGCAGACTTTTAACTTAAAAAAAATGTAAAAAGAAAGAAACATAATTTTTTTTTCTACCTACCTTTGCCTTTATAGGTAATCTTTATACCAGACAAGTCCAAATAGAGGGTGAAACCCTGGCTATTCAGGTTCAAGACACTCCAGGTATTCAGGTGAGAAACTCTTAAGATTTGTGATGGGTCAAAGGGGTGAATTACTTGACTGTGAAATTGTTCAGTTTGTCCTAAGAGCCCCTCCTGCCCAAGGATGAAGGAGATTTAAGGAGTCAAGTCTAGACTTTTACATGTCATCTGACACTTCAATGATATCTGGCAACTGTTTGGCCGGAGCCAGCAGTTAATTTGCAAAGTTTGGATAAAGGGCAGAAATCTTCCCGAAGGAGGATTCAGCACATCAGGAAAGGGCAAATGAAATACACTTGGAACTGGTGATGTCTTTGAAAAATCCTTTCAGAGAGATATAGAGAAGAGCAGAAATTGTGTTTAAGTGTCAGATTACTCTCAGTACAGACATATGTAAACTTGCATATTCAAGAAAAAATAATCGTTTCTCTGGTCCAGGATGGGTATGTTTTGCTAGGCACGTGCTGCGTATCTTTGAACTCAATTTCTTCAATCACAGACTAATTTTGAAATGGTATGCTTTCTAAAAGCATTGCATTGGGTAAAGAAAAAGAAATGCAACAATTGTTAAAAAACAACCGTGAAGGTATAGTCTCCAGTATTTGGAATCACTTTTATATTGTAGAAAGTCACTTCAGACCAAAGAGCAGTGCTAGTGGGATTCCCTCCCCCCTCTTAACTGGGCAGTTATCCAGGTTTAAATGCTTCCAGCTCCTATCTTTACTTCCCCAGACTTACTGTCTAGCCAGTTAATTTCCCATTTTGTGCAACTACAAAGTCTCTCTGCATGGAGTTCTCTGCAGGTCAATTTTCCACTTGAGTGTGGCGAGCTGCACTGTTATTTATTCCAACTCTGTGCAGCTGGATCAACAGAGTGTCAAGAAAGCTGAAGTGTGTGGGGATAAAACTTGGTCAGGGCCTGTGAAGGGCCCTTTTGAGTTCTCTGGGTGACCACTCTCAGCTGACCACACCACCCGCTCGCTCTTACAGGTCCACGAGAACGGCTTGAGCTGCAGCGAACAGCTGAACAGGTACATTCGCTGGGCCGATGCTGTCGTGATTGTTTTCTCCATCACCGATTACAAGAGCTATGAACTCATCAGCCAACTCCACCAGCACGTCCAGCAGTTACACCCGGGCACCCGGCTGCCCGTGGTGCTTGTGGCCAACAAAGCCGACCTTCTGCACCTCAAGCAGGTGGACCCTCAGCTCGGACTGCAGCTGGCCGGCATGCTGAGCTGCTCATTCTATGAGGTGTCTGTCAGTGAGAATTACAACGACGTATATAGCGCCTTCCATGTGCTGTGCAAAGAAGTGAGTCACAAACAGCAGCCCAGCAGCCTGCCCGAGAAGCGACGAACCTCCCTCATCCCGAGGCCCAAGTCCCCCAACATGCAGGACCTGAAGAGGAGGTTCAAGCAGGCCCTTTCTGCTAAAGTGAGGACTGTCACCTCTGTCTGAAGTGGAGACACCCTTGGGGGCTTCGCCTCCCCAGGAGGAGGACGAGAGGTTTCTCCAGTACTGGAGTTTTGAATGCTGGCAGTAAATTCACGGTTCCAGAAAAGAGCTGGTGCATAGCGGCCAAGGGGGCCTCTGGAACTACTGTGGAAAAGGAAGCATCGTTCTGAGCAGCAGACAATAATGAGCCCACTGAACCATGCTCTGAACCTGTGAAACGCGCTTGTCCCCTTTGGAGTGGCTTGGGGCGCATTAACACGTTGGGTTTCGTTCTTAACTTGAATCTTGTAAATGAGGATCAGTTGTAGTGTCACAAAACATTATATTGATGTGATTTACAATAAGAATGAGAGAACAAATTACGCTATCACAGACTTTCTCCTCCCTCTTTTTTTTTCCTTTCCTATTTTCATCTTTCCCCTCCCCCCTTAAAAAAGAAGAATGGCTTTTTACTTATCAGTATGGTGTGCATGTCTGGGAACACTATTCCTTTCAAAATACTGTTCTAACTTGAAAGATACCTAGATTTTTCTTTTCCTTTATTAAGGAGGAAATTCTTTCAAAAAAAAAGAAAAGAGAGGTTGTGTTTTAGGGCCAGAATGTTCTCTGTACAGACATATGTTAAGCCTGCATATGCAGACAGTTTGCAGAAAGAGGTGGTTTCTCCTCACACAGCGTGGGTCTGATTCATTGGGCACATACTGTGTGGTTGTGCATGCAAACTCACAGCCGCAGACATTGGGTAATCGTGAGACTGTATAATTTTTTTTCAATTGTTGTATCAGGTACAGAAAAAAAGCAACCACCCAGGAAACAAAGCCAACACACCAAAATAACAAAAAACACCCATCAATTGATTGTGTTGTAATTTGTATAAACAGCACATGGTAATGACAGTAGGTTGCTTCCTGAGTCTGGCAATGGGTGGCTGAAATACAAGAACACTGTCTGACAATAGATGCAGGGCTATCCCGCCAAATCTACACAGATGCACTTTAAAAAGCCACTTGAGCTTTGGCTTAAACTGTAATTAATTTATTTTATGTACAATAAATTCTCATTTCAATAGATGTCTGATTATTATTTAAAATAGGTTGTGTGGTGTGTTTTGTTTTTTTTTTAAATTATTCAAGGTGTATGTTGCCGAACATAGACTGGCTCAATGATTTCTCCACGTTCAGTTCAGTGACCTGATGACATCCCTCAAGTTGAGCATCATTTTCACCTTCCCTTTTTCTGCATTCTTCCTCCCCTTTTACCTTAAGTTCTAACATGGAATGTTGATTCCTACCTGACCTGTAGAGTTGCTGCTGTTGATTTGATCCCATATAGCTAGTTTTTAAGAACAATGTTAAGGGCAGAATTCTTTACAAATTAAGCCAACCCCTGGTGGCCATTTGAGTAAGGAGCTGTGCTGCCAACTCAAAGGCAAGTGGTTTGAATCCACCAGCTGCTTTACAGAGAAAAATGGGCAGTCTCCTCCTGTGTGATGTACAGCCTCCAAAAGTCCACTGGAGAGTTAGCTATGAGTTGGTTCTGACTTGACAGCACCTAACAGCATTAACTATTTGGTTTAGTATGGGTGGGTAAGAAGCTGCACTGTCAACCCAAAAGCACATGAGACAATCTCCAATGCCATTTACTGCCTCTGATAACCTGCCGGAAGGTCATCTGAGTTGGTTCCAACTTGACAAAGACTAAACAACTGCTTGAAGTAAGAGTTCAGGGGATATTTTTAGATTAACCCCTAAAATTATTGCCTTGAGATAACCTTAAACCTTGAATTAAAGTATTGTCTCAAGGCAATAGTTTGGAGGGTTCACTCAGCCTCTGTGGTTCCAGAAATCTGGATTCCATGAGGATTTTAAATTCTGTTCCTCAGTTTCCCCACTGTTGATCAAGATTCTTCTTTGGAATCTTGAATCAGAATTTCAAAGGTAGGTGGGAACCTTCTAGTTCTGGTCTCATGGTCTGATTTGTTTTTAATTGAAATGCTAACTTCTACCCTTCAGAGTATTAGTTAGTGTCTTGTATTAACTGGGCATGTAGAGTCAGGCATTACACCTTCCAGGGGTCATCTCTGAAGACACAAAACCAACTAATGCAGTACATTCTATTATACTCATTTAGCAGATGAGGAAACTGGCTTACACAGCAAGTTAAGTAATGAGTAAGGGTGTAGCCTGCAGGGAAATGCAATTTGTGCTTTGTGTTAAAGACTGGCATATGGTGTTGTTTTCCTAAAGTGTCCTCTAGGAAAGCGTAACCTGCCTGGTTATGTGTTTTATGTTGCTAAATCATCTTTCAGCAAAACCTTCAAGGTATTAACATCACTGCACATAACGACGACTTCTCCATACATGCTTTCTTTGGCACACTTTTTTGGGCATACAGCTTTCAAAAAGTTCACCTTGTAAAAGCCCAAGGTTGTTCCAGGAGTCAATCCCAAGTAGGTATTTTTCTTTGTTTTGTTTTGGGTGTTTTTGTTGTTGTTGTTGTTGTTTTTTCCCCCATAAGCATATGTGCCAGACCTGCCAGGAATCTTAGAGGTTTGCATCTGGGACTAGGAAACCATTCGTGCATGCTGAGTGTACTCGGCTTTAAGCAGTCCTTTCAAATACCTGCTTTCAGTTAATGCTCAGGATAACCCAGGGAGGAGTGTGGCAGATGTATTACTATCCTTGTGCAGATAAGAAAACCAGGCTGAGTTTTGAGTGAGGGCCTCTAGTTCACACACCAAGGACCTGAACTGCTGGCTTCCCTCTGCATCAGTGTTCTTATTGGCTATAATGAGCGCCAGTAGTGAAAAGGAAACATGCTTGGCTGCCAAGTGAAAGGGTGACCTTTCAAGCCCACCTAAGAGCTCCATGGGAGAGAGACCTGGCAATCTGCTTCCTTCAAGATTCAGCCAAGAAAACCCTATGGGGCAGCTCTACTCTGTTATATGGAATCATTATGAGCTGGAAATGGACTTGATGGCACCTGTAGTGCCATCATTTCATATGTAATTATACTGCTAAATATGTGGGGCTCTGGGGCAAGGCAGCAGCTGAAGTGAATGTCTGCTGAGGATTTACTTTGTTAAGGAATAGTGCTGCTTTAAAATGCATTTTCCATTGGGTAAATATCCTATCTACTCTTGATACACAGGATATTTACCCAAGGAAAAGTAAATTTGAAAGACTCACACCTTACCACAGTAGGACCTCAGCAGATAATTCTCTAACCTTCTCGGGCAGTCTATATCCTATAGACTGCCAAAAGACAAACAGCTATGTCTTGGAGAAGGTAAAGGCAGAGTTATTATACCTGGGAGGCAAGGGTGGTGAAGCTTCATCTTGCACACTCTGGGCATGTTTCCAGGAGAGGCTATTCCTTGGAGAGGGACATCATGCTTGGAAAGGTGGAGTGATGGTGAAGGAGAGGAAGAGCCTTAACAGTAACTGTAGCAATCAAGAGATTGTGAAGCTGGCACAGGAAAGGACAGGATTCAGATCTGTTCATAAGGTCACTATGACGATGAGCCGTACTTGCTTGACAGTGCCTAACAACAACGCTTGATATGGCTCCTGGTGGTTGCCCAAACCTTTCTATGGAGCATAACTTTCCACACTTCAAGGCTGACCTCACCTGTGTGTGTGTGTGTGTGTGATGAGGGACACTAATGTGATTAAAACCCATCTCAAGTCAGAGGAGTAACAAGTACTGCCAATGACTAGGGTCTACTTGCTTTTGTTTCTACTCATTCTGTGTGACTGTGTCACTAATGTCCAGTGGATATGAGGCTGATCTTTACATACTCAACAGCTCTCATGTTCTGGAACGAAACGAGGTCGTGTTCACAGGGCTCTATCTGTTGGGCAGGGCTGCTGTCCCACTGGTTAGTGTACCCTGTTCCTGATTTCTTTTCCATCTGCTCCGCAAGTCTGAGCCTCCAGTGCTGGCTTCTCCTGCTCTCTGGCTGGGCTGTCCCCTGACCCTTTTGACCTCCTGACCTCTTGTAGTCACAGCTGCCCCTCATCTCCCACCTGCCCTGAACTCAATCCTTCACACCTCACCTTAGGCTGCCAGGCTGGAAGGGGTCATCAGCCCACCCAGAGATGTCACCTTAGGCTGCCAGGCTGGAAGGGGTCATCAGCCCACCCAGAGATGTCACCTTAGGCTGCCAGGCTGGAAGGGGTCATCAGCCCACCTAGAGATGTAAAAGTGGTGTGGTCAAGGCCATTCCAGTAGAAGCTGACTCCAGGCTGGAGACCACCATGGCCTACTACTGTCCATTGTCTTGACTCCTCATCCTTCCAGCTTACTCCCAGCTGTCTTCTTTTCTTGTGCATTTCCTTCAGGTTTCATTACTTTGGTTCATCTTTAATTTAATCCTCCCCCACCTTTTTATTGTTATTATGTCAGAACTGACTCACAGTCCCAAGTGGGTTTTTAGAGGCAATAAATCACAAGGGAAGAGATTGCTCATCTCTCCAGCAGAATAGCTGGTGGGTCTGAACTGTGTGCTTTTATTTTACTAAGTTTTCTTTTTTAAAGGTAAATGTGTGGTGTACATGGATACTTTAAGCTGCTGGTTGAAAAGTTGTTGGTTGGAACTCACTAAGAAGTACTGTGGAAGAAAGGCCTGGTGGTCTGCCTCCAGCAAGACCAGAGTCAGGACAAACCTGTGGAATGCTTATCCATAACACATGGCATCAACAGGAGTCAGAAATCACTCAGCAGTAACTGGTTTGCCTCTGGTTTTTTCCCCCCTAAGGACAGTTCTAGAAACATTGGGCAGAAAGGACAGAGCTCCACCCTCTCCTACTTTTTTTAAAAAATATTTTTGAATTTTTGAGCTATAACCTCCTGGCACTGAGGAACACCCCCGCTCAGCTAGGGAAACACCTACTTTGCCACTGGGGAAGGGAACGTTTCCCATGGAGGGAGAGGAGCAGACGAGAGGGGAGAGAAAGGAATTAGAATTTATGGAGCATTTATGCTGTGTCAGATCTCTCATC